TGTAAAGAAGAAAGCGAGAGAATTCGCCGATTTCGAGAAAAAAGGCCTCTCAAAAGTAGGGAAAATAGAGGTTGGACGGTATGGACGAGATTGCCACGACGGAAATAACATGGAAGGGGTATTAGGACGAGATTTCAGTTGTTGCAGTTGCGCGAAGAGCTGTCTACATCAAGCCAAACTGTACAGAACTGCCTTTCACTATCGCTAGGGGTCATGGCAAGTTGTTTGAACCTCCTACATGGGTTCCCTTATGATCGGTGCAGCCTCTACAACGCCGGTAAAACTCGTCCGAAGGTACACAGGATGCAATATTTGAGCTTTTGTAACTCCCTAACTAGGCCGTGTTTCGACCTAATAGACCCCGATATCTTGCAGGAAGGGACCTTGCATTCCTCCTAAGGGAAAATACCAGAAAGCGTTGCTGTCATGAAAAGCGCTTTTAAACATAAAGGACTGGACTAGACTAACCGGTGATCGAACTGATTTTGTTGTTAGAAGGAGATGTAATGACAATGAATTGTGGTATAGAGGCTTTCATGAAAAATTTATGGAATTGGATGGAATACAAATAAGTATTTGCTCCCACGAAAACAAAAGCCCTCGTGCTTGAGATGCAATATTCTTCTGCTCATTCACCAAAGGATGCCCCACCACTTGAAATAGCAGTTGTTATTCAATTTCTTTCCATTCAGAAATACTTCATATGGGATAGAATGACGTGATTGGGGAAGGGCTTCTACTCGAAAGCTTTTTGCTTTCTGGGCGTATTCTCAATGTAGAATGTACAAATATCGATGAGCTGGCAATATATTATTAGCATATTTCATTTTCCATAGTAAGCTGGATGAATGTTATCTATTTTACTAATCACTACATGGGCTTAGGTGGTGTAGTGGCAAGTGGCACTCTCTCACACACATGTTGCAGGGTTCGAATCCTGAATCGATCTCGCCTAGGCCGAGTAAGCCTTCCATTCCTTCGTGGTTAGTTAATTATTACCAAAAGCATAAAAACACTGTCTTGTACTTCGGCTGGCCATCGCAAGTCATTTTTGAGGCCACTCTTGCATTGAAACAGCCGCTACGATTCTGAATGGTAGTCCAATGCGGGGCTCATTCCAATACGGAACTAGACGAACACACTACATCCTCAAACTTTTCGTTTATCACACTCTCCTCGACGGATGTAAAAAGAACAAGCACATGAGTAATGAAGGGAAGGTCGGCCTAAGTCTGTTACAGAACAGATAAACTGTAGAAGCAGCAGTCATTCGCCCTTGGAACACTACTGCGTTGCTGTTGTAAACAAAGCCTATTTTATGGATTACATTCTTCAAAGACAGGAGAAATGTAACATTTTGTGCCGCACTTGGCTGGGAAACTTTTTTTTGAAGCCCGAAGAAGCTAGGCAGATAGAAACGTTCTCGTCGATAACGATACATCAAGGGATCGTGGTATGTTTGAGCGCTTGTGTAATGAACGGTGACAATTACATGCAAAGCGTAATATTTCTGGTCTCTAACTGTGCATGGACCACTAAAGACCATCTCCTATGTTGATGAGGTAACGGAACTTCTCCCCGATTACGGCATTCTCCCTTGCGGCATGCCGCAAATGTCACTGCAACTACCGTACTCACCCCGCCTCCCCGGCAATCGATAGGACGCGGAATTTTTCGTTAATTGGCCTTCTTTTTTATTGGATTTGATCGTTTTTTTTATTTCTTTTCCAATTCTATGTTTATTAGACTTGATTAATCGGAATGACTCGTCCAATGTAAGCGATGATCAAGACTGCATTGAAATTGAAGAGAGCGGTCAGCCAATTCAAATAATTAAAGGACTCCCTACCTCCCAAATTGCGCGCTCCTATCTGCCATCGCAATCCTGCGATACGCGGCGGGTGCGGCGTGCGCGACGCCGTCTTCAGGAAGAAGTTCCCGGACCCTATGTTGATGACATCGCTCTGATAGCGGAAAGTAGGGAAGGATATTGGACCAAGCTGCAGAAATGTCATGACGTTTTAGCAAAAAATGAGTCCTGGTTGAAAGTGGAGGAGACCACGTTGCCCAACTCTGAGAATTACGCGGAAGCAACGTGAATCGTTTTGAGTGGCCATCGATAAAGTGGATGATATCTAAGGAGCGACCAAGCTACTAACGGTGCCGTACATCAAGCTGCAAACATTCGTGGATGAGTGAAATGGGGAGAGTCCAGTGAAATCCTTGGCGAACAGCGACACTTCAGGACGGCCCTTAGGCGAAATTTATGAGAGGGCGACTTTGCTCCGCTTGAACGAGGCCCAGGTGGGCCTTTTTGGACGTCATTGAACCAAATCAGAAGTGAAGAAGTTAGGCGAGTCACGTGAAAAGAGCCCCAGATCGGTCCAAGATGAGAGTTTCAACGCAGGAAGTGCAGACAAAATCGTGGCCTAGCACTTGGGTCCTCAATAGAGGTATATCGCTATCATGGAGACTCCATATCTCATTGTTACAGAGGAACGAGCTTGGATACACGAAAACTGTCATGTTTGTTCAGTTGTATACGGAATAACTCATGATTCTCCGATAGTTTTATGTTTTATACCGATAGTCAACAAGGTTCTGACTGACCAGCTGGAAGACATGAGTGAGGGAACCACCAGAGAGTCTATGAATCCACCAGAATTGTTCTTGGAAGAATAACCTTCACTTCACCGTGCCTTGAACTCATCCCAGTTATTTACGGGTCTCGGTAGTTGATGAAAACCAAGAATTTTTTGCGCAATGACAGCACGCCCTTCATTCAAGAAAATGGATCACGAATCACGAATCACGTTCACGAATTACCTCTGTTTTCTATCACTGAACGACCTCGAAGCACTCACTGCACTGATTTTTTACGACGGCTGTACCGAAATGGTAGTGCTTTTTGTTTCCATCTAGATTGACAGTTACGGCCAACGTATGATTATTAAAGGGAACTGTACTCAACCCACAACAGCCCCATCAAGGGAAATGTAACTAAAGATAAGGAAGTTGCCATTCATATGTTAGCAGAAACCTCCAAAGGTGGGCAGTCAACAGTGACGATTTCATTACATCAGGGCTTGTGCCCTGATGTTTTTATTGGGGTTTCGCTGAAATATTCGCCATATCTGTTTGTTATACATATAACCACTGATCAATTGTTCAATCACATGAGCTCTATAAATGTCCAACAACTTGTTGCTCGTTTATCGGCAGCAGTAATGCGCTTCACATTTGCTTTCCCCCTTATTTTCCTAATCGCAACCCAGGTTCGCTAGTCTGTAGTTGTCGCTTTGGTTTTGGAAAGAGAATCAGAGCACTCTACTGTGCCGTAATTCACATGTGCTACCTTTCAGGACAGCGCGTATGGCTTCTGGCCATTCGACTCCGGCGAGGACCCCTCTTCCGATGTAAGTAATGAAGGGCGAATGCTGTCATCTTGATGTTTGACTTTTTGACATTTAATCTATATTAACCTTCACCTAGAAGCAACCTTTTGTGATTGAGGTGGATGATTGATTGTTAGGCTTGCCTGGGATTGCATCGCCTTTGAATGTGGCACCCTGGTCTAATGTTTTAGAGCCCCTTGACCTATCAACTTCCGTCTTAACTGAGCAATGAAAGTTTAGTAATTCACATGAAAAAAAAAGAAATGAGCTTATTATTCTAGTCTATTGGGATTCGGCATCCTGAGAATATGTTCCGAAAACTCGAGTCCTCTGACGACACATATGCTGTCCAGATTACATATTGGAAGAGGTATAGATGGGCGATAATCTACCATTGGTTGTACTTAAAGGAAAGGCTTTTTTACCTTCGAATCCTTTCATATATTTCCAAGTTGTCAAGTTATCTGACTCATATTTCGAACAGAATTTATATACCTTACAGGTCTGCTTGCTCGGCTTTTACAATCTTTCCGAATTATTTCGAAATTGAAGCTTGGAAAAAAGGTGTTTTGACAATCAAAATCATCTGGTTGAAGCTCTTATAGAAGTTTGATTTTCGTTTGCTAGGGCGTACTTAGTATTAACCTCTCCAGAAGAACCGCTTTTGGGTTATCCATCGAGTAGTGCCTTTTCAAACGAAACCTGGTACAAATTTTGAAATTACTTTGAATGGATACAATACACATAAAATCTTTTGACTTCAGTATTTTACCAACCTTTTATTCGTACAAGACTATTTATGTTGCAACCTAATGAGCAATGCTCATAATCGGCTCATGAATACTGCGATCTGGGTCCAAGATTCGCTCTTCGATTGTCTTCCACGCGAGTAAGGCACAGTGCGACTGGGCAGTCTGAAAATTCTTTTTGGATTCCCTGATCCCATTGCATACTCCTTCGTAATGCTTAGGGGAACATTACCTTCGTATGACCTTGACCATGAGAGTTCATTACCTTATTGAACTCATATATTTTGTTCAGGATGGAATATTCGGTTGGTGCAGAAGCCTATTCGATTGGTTTGAAAACCTTTTCAAGCCATTCGGAAGTTCTGGCGTTATCGTCAGTAGTGGTGACGGAGTCACCAATGTTTCGGCTGTGATCGGCGGCAAACGGTACAATGCCACCTTCCCAGGAGTAGATTCAATTTCTTCCTCATCGCGTATCGTGAATATTAACGGAAACTCTACGGAAGTGTTCAACATTACAGTCAACGGTACTACTTATTATACCTACAAGACTGTTGATGGCAAAACGTCCTTTTCCAAAAATGGACAAGACAGCGATGATGATCCATTTCATGTCATTTTACAAGAAGCCACATCATCAGAACCTCAAACGACTCCCATCAGCAAATAAACACGAACCATGGCTTGTAGTAATTTCTCAATTGCTCTCTACGATATCGCAATAAATTCTTATACGTATCCTTCAACTTCTATTGAACAGAAGCAGTGAAGTCAAGTTTATACTTTATACAGTTTATACGTTTGAATTTTCCAGAAAGTGCGGAAGCAGTCATCATTTACTGTCAATTTCAAGTTTTCTGTAATGGACAAGTATGTTTTGAGTAAAAATGAAGGGTTTCGTGCACCAAGTACAGCGTGCATTCTTGACAGTATGCAGAAAGAGGCGTTGGGTTCCCACAGCTCTCGAGTCAAAATTGTTAGGCCAGCGTTACAACCCTTCCGACCGACGACGGTTTTGGGCTGGGCGACGGCTCCATGAGCTCCTCGGGTCGGCGGGTCCTAGGCTCATCGGTGTCCAGTATGTGGACTTTAGGCTCGCCCATTGAGCCGTGCTCTTCAATTACGCCTAGTCAAGAGCAGCACCATATCTCTTACTGTTCGTACTGTTAGTAAACATCACTGAGTAAGAAAGGACAGACAGCAAGAGATTGCCTCAAGGAAAACACAGTGCCGGTTCTCTTGATCTCTCAGTCAATGATTTTCCTGGAGCACACGAGCAGTGCGGTGCACGGTGCTGTGACTTGCACAACAGTCGGTGGGCACAGGATCAACCGGATTGGGCGAGAGCGAGATGGTGACAATGCACAAGTCACCTCAATGAGTTCATCAGTTCAAAAACAATTGAAGTCCCAGACATGCCCGACTTTTTGGATGGCAGGGTCAAACTGGTCGTACTTTTTAGCTGACAGTTTTCCTGAGAAAGTGTCTCATGAAGAGCCTACCAGATACAAATTAGTACAATGAATCAGGGGAACTGGACGATGAATGAAGGTTAATGCCGCTTTAGTTTGGAATTTCTTCTACAAATGTGGGCTTGAGCTGCCTTTAGAGCCTAGGTGAGTCACTCCGGAGGAAGGCGCATACATATACACTGACTGATGCATTTGTTGTCAAGGGATCGAGAAAATTTTCTTAATATTTCATGGAATTGAATGGCAATCTGAAGATTCTTTATTGTAAAAGCAAACTTTGAGTATATGGGAACGGTCGACATTCAGTATCTATGTCGCTGAATGTTTGCAAAGAGTTTATGAAAGGGCTCTGTAGCAAACGCTGGCTGACATAGTTGTAATCCAGTTCAAATGTTTCGTAAAGCACAGCACAGCAGCATCGGTTGCCATGAGTGTGTTTATTTTGTTCTGTAGAATAAGCTATTCCATCTCAAATCTTTTCGAACATACCCTTAATGGCAACAAAGATGTTCAAGGACATCCGCCGAATTTCGCCGTTCAAAAGCTGTCGTTTCGACTGATTCGACATGATCTGCACTTGAGTCGAGAAATAGGTAGTCTTCCTAAAGACTACGTCTACGTAAAGGTACACGGAAGCGTCAGATGGTGGATGCAGATCAACAGCCCCTGTCGGATTTAAGAACGATCTTTTTGACGACAGTGCTACCGTTGACGCACACACCTACTGCTTGCAGCTGCGTGTCGTTGCTGCGAAACTCGCAAATTTACGGCCTCGCAGGGGGGGGGGGGTATGTGTCAAGTCGTGCGTCCGAGGATGCGCGCGGCAAATTGCGCGGCGAAGTTCGTGACGATTTGAGCGACTTCAGCGCCTATCTTTGCGGCCCAAATTTGAAGCAAAGTAGATTAGAAGGATAACTCGACCCTGCTTAATTAGTCTACTTCGAGTTTGTGCCCCGAAAAGTGGCGTCAGAGTCGTTCAAATCGTCACGAACTCCGCCGCACAATTTGCCGCGCGCGTACTCGGACGCACGACTTGACCGTCCCCTCGTTTGGGCACGACTTGACCGTCCCCCTCGTATGAGTGAAGTTTTTCTGCTACACTACAACGCATGCTCACATGCCACAAAGCAAAACCATAGAACAATATAGAACATTGGTATCGTAGTTCCCCTTCACCTGCCATATTATCCAATTTCAATTATCCGGCTACCATTTGTTCAGCTCGCTTGCTCACTTCCTGGAGGGAGAAGCGGAGCCACAGTGATCGCGAGTACCTAGAAATGGGCACTCAGTCATTCTTCGCAGCGAAGAAAGTGGAGTAGAGTGGAAAGGGACTCATACCCATCTCTAACACTGGAGGACAAAAGAAGGGAGTTTGGTGAATACTGCACTTGATAAAGTAGGTTATGGAGCAAGTTGAGTAATTTTGATATCGGCATCGGAACACGGCAGTACTATTACTCAACATAAAAGAAAATGCTATGGGGCTCCAGAATGTCTTCATATACTCTAGAGCGGATGTTTTAGTAATAGGCAGACAGACATCGAGCGATTAGAGAGCGAGGTCTTTCAAAATCAACATAAAAGTGGACGTGGTCACTTTCTCGCCCGTAACCCGAAGCCACTTGGGAGATTCCGTGAAATCCTATGAGTTTTATTGAAGAACTCTAACCACTGCAGAAAGAAAGACAAGACCCACTCCCCACCCCGGTGCCACAAACAGGAGGTGTAATTTGAATGCACGGGAGCCATCGTATTTGATCAGTTGTATACGCGATTACTCATCATCCCTCAATACTTTTCTTTTTACAGACAGTCAAAAAAGATTCCGATCAGCAAGCGAACATATCCTGGCCCAGGTATTGATTCCTTTAGTTTTTGCTTATGGCATAAGAAAGTAATCTTCGTTTGGTCTTGTCTTCAACTGATCCTTGGTGGTGGGCCATAGGGGTTAGGGAAACATTTTTGATGTACCGGGATCATAAGACTTTCTGTCGGAAAATATGGATTTCACAAAAATACCTTATCTCTCGTTCCATGAGAAAAGAGGTTGAATGTCTTCTACGACGGCTGTATTGAACTGGCACGGCTTCGTTACCATTTCGATACAGCCGTAGACCCCATGATCACCGAAGACACCCTCATTCAACCACACAAAAATCACTAATGAGAGAAATAAACCTAGGGATAGGCAACTATCAGACAAGAAACAACCCTCGATTGTCTGATAGTTGCCAATCCTTAGCCTACAAAGGCAGAAGTAACGATTTCGCCATATTAGTTAGTGCTTATGCCCTTTTTCATCGGAATGTTTGCTGAAATATTCGTCATATCTGTTTGTTGACGTATA